TATGGCCTACCTAAAGTACATTAATCGGGGGGGGGAGAGGGGGGTACCGTTAAGACCAATACTTGATATGCAAAATTCGCTCTACTATGCATGCTCTAGCTAGATGGTTAGTAAATATTCTCAAACCTTTGCATGAGAAGATAGTGAAATATAGCGTCGAAGATGTATTTGAATTCGAAGACAGAATAAAAGATAGTAATATCAAGGACAAAACCATGATTTCTCGGAGCAAAACATCGTTATTAACAAATGTACCTCTAATAGAAACAGTTAAATACATAGGTGAACAAGTGGAAAAGCTGTCGATAAACATTGGCATCCCGACGGAAATCCTAAACGAATTGTTATTAAGCTGTACAATGAATGTAGATTTCAAATTTGACGGCACACTTTACAGAGAAGTGGACAGGGTGGCGGCAGGCTCCTCCTCCACCCTATTGAGTCCCATTTTGGTAGATTTCCTTCTAAGGAAACTAGAAAATGGACCTCTGAACAACCTTATTAGAAAATTCTCATTTTAATGCAGGTATATGGATGATACACTTATTCTTTGTGATAATTATTCGGATAAGAGTAAATAAATAACTGAATTCAATGAAGCACATTCGGCTATGAAATTCACGTGCAAAGAGGAATCCCAAAACAGTATTGCCTTCCTGGATGTCCTCCTTACAAGAAAAACAGATGGCAGTATAAAGAGAAATTTGTATAGGAAAATCATATGTACAAGACAATGTACACATTTTCATTTGGTCGTTCCTCTCCAGTACAAAAGAAATTTAATGGAGACCCTCATACACACGGGGTTAGAGCTATATGCTCAGATGACGTAACTGGAGGTGAATCAAGCATTGTATATGATACTGTGATCGAAAATAGCTATCCAGACAAATTTAACCAGAAACACATAACAAAGAAAGTGGAAAAGGACTACTCACTATCCGTAAAAAAGTAGCCCTTATACATACGACTGAAATTCAAGGGGAATATACCTTGTGAAATAATAACGAAGAAATTAAGAAATTCATTTTAAAGAACTTTTAATGGTAGTAAACTACAAGTCTTATTCTCTGCACGACCGGTCTTGATTCTCCAATTGAAAGATGAAGTTTTCTATAGTTTGGTTTGTAAGGGTTGGTTTTGTTTTTACGAGTTGATCAAGGATTAATATCAGTTAGGAAACCATTGAAAACGAACCAGAGAGTACTGGACAGCTGTTTCTTCAGCCTAGTTTGGGAATCATTGACAGTACGCACCTACCACCAGGGTTCAAACCCAGGACCTTCCGGTTACAAGGCAAACTCGTATACCAGAAAGGTGAAGTACCTACACTAGCCACGTTTAATTGTATCTACCTATTCAACTGAGCTTACGGAGTGAGTTATATTGACCGTTGTTCTAGGAACTTGATTTTTCGTGCTCATGAACACTTACCAGGTTGACTAAATAAGAGTGTAGTGCAATACATAGACAGCTCGATATTAGACGAGCTCCAAACCGGCCACAAATCTAGTATCGAAGAATCCTTCTCCATCATCTATAGAGTAGCAAATCTATTGCCAAAAGCATCCAGGTACCGAATACTCCAGACAGCAGAGGATATTGTGATTCGTATGAAACAACCAGTCCTCTGTGTTCAAAAGAAGCAAGTCCAGCCAGTCACTACTACTGCTCTGGGCAGTCTTCAATGTAGACTATAAATTCATGAATTTGTATTATTGTTATCTTTCCTAATTTCTCTGATATTCATTCGTTGTGTAATGTTGTGTTGATGCTATTGAACTGTAATCTATTGATGCTATTACTGGTTCGATTTTATGGATGAATAACAGTGATTACGTAAGATACTTCAAAAAAAAACACACACAATGGTACTGACGATGATAATAATAATACAGTGTAGTGTTTACATAACTCATCGCCAAAACTGTCAGTGTTCCTTTTATTCTGCATTAATTGTAATCGCTTACAATATATGAAAAAAAGCGACTGACTTTATAATTTACACAAAACATAAACTACTGTATACACTGAGATCAACTGACGTTTGTTTACCTGATACGTAATTTACTAAGTGGTGGAGTTATGAAGTATAATTTATTCTTATTTAATTACAAATTATACTTCATAATCACCACTTAGCATAAAACAGCCGGACCTGATAGAATAACTCCAGAGGTATTTAAGTACGGTGGAGACAGTTTACTCTCTATGTTAACTGAGGTACTGGGCAGCGTCTAGGAATCAGAGGAAGTCCCATTGGGTTGGTGTAAATCACTGATTATCCCCATATACAAGAAGGGAGACAAGTCTTCCTGTGATAATCACAGAGGGATTAGCTTGACTAATATGGTGGTATCTAAAGTCTTAGGCTCAATAATCATGCGTAGACTAAGTGGTGCTCGGGAGGCACAAAAACGGGGGAACCAGGCAGGCTTTAAAACAGGAAGAGGGTGTATTGATCATATCTTCACCCATCCTTTGACAGATTCTAGAACATAGTCATTCTTACCGGCGTCCAACAATCTTCATATTTCTTGACCTAAAGGCGGAAATCGATTCTATCGACCGATAGGTACTCTAGCGATGCTTGGCTGTAAAGGGAATTCAGAGAAAATACATTGCACTGATCAAAGCACTCTACTCCCCCAATTGATCACCTTTATTGCCTTGAAATTTGAACTTTCCTGTCACTTGAATAACTTTTTATTAGTTGGTAAATTTGGTCTATAGTAATGTGTCTGTTAATTGCTGATTCACTTTTTTGCTGAAACCTGTCTGCTAGCCAAAATTGGTAGACACAAATTTACGTCAACGTTTACGTCCCAAATCGGGGTCATGAGAAAAAAAACAAGGCTTAACCTTGAGGAACTACTCAACGACCAATCACAACAGACTTAATGTGGGCACATACGGTTCGTAGACCGGATTGTCTAAGAAACGGTAACAAAGAGATGACAGCAGGAAAACAACCAGTCAGAAGACGTTCCTGCTCTGCTAACAACAACGAATAATAATGTACATAAAAATCTACAAATATCTCTTGATTTTTTCAATAAACGATCTGTTGCCTGACCCTTGTCTTCTGTTGTTACAACTTGAGTACCAGGCTTCTAGAAATTCCCTGACTGCATTTTTGGTGTTTCCTCTATTTAAAATTTCGACATTATCTCAATCATCAAATTGGTGACCATAATTAACTACATGTATTGATATAATGAAAGAATATATATCGTGTTTTTTTCAATAGTTTGGTTTGTACGGGTTAGTTATGTTTTTACGAATTGACCACGGGTGAGTGCGTACTGCCGATGGTTCCCAAACTAGGATGAAACAGCAGCTGTTCAGTACTCCCTGGTTTTCAATGGTTCTCTAACTGATATCAATCCGCGGTCAATTCGTAAAAACATAACTAACCCTTACAAACCAAACTATAGAAAATTAATCTGATGCTCGCTAGTGAGTGACTTGCTAAAGGATGCAGTTTCCTGCAGTTCTAGTGAGAAGTCGTGACCAGTGAGGTCCATCCAGATGTCACGTGTGTAGATGGATGTCCCACCGACGACAATGGTTGGGGTCGCACTAAATCACAAATTGGTAGAAGTTAGAATTCATGCACTGGCCATTGAATCGGGTAGAATCCTAGTGACTGAATGGTATACGAACCATCTTGCCTTGTAACCGGAAGGTCCTGGGTTCGAATCCCAGTGGGATGGGTGCGTACTTCCGATGATTCCCAAACTAGGATGAAACAGCAGCTGTCCAGTACTCTCTGGTTGGTTTTTAATGGTTCTCTAACTGATATGAATCCGTGATCAACTCGTAAAAATCTACAGCTGGTTTTGTCATCTTTACCAATTAGCCAATTCGATGTCTGTCTGTCTGTTTTCGACATAGAATTCGATAGCGAAAAATGACTCCATACTGAGGAACGATGATTAAGTTGTCATATATAAGCCGGGATTTTTTAAATTCTGGTTAAATAATACCACTTCGATAAAGATACTAGCAGCAGCATTAAATAGCGAAACGTCAGTAAAAACAACGACAATATCGTTTTGTTTTCCATTCATTGGGAAATACAAGGAAACCTTTATTATAATGAATATAATTTAATAATTCCCATTGTAGCATTAAGAACACAATATTCAGCGAAGAGACTCTTTTCAACGAATTTATTATCAAGCTGTACAATTGTATATATTTGGTTAGGGTTAGGGTTTGAATGCCACCCTATTTCCCATCTGATTTTAATTAATCAGTAGCACTCATATTATTATTTCTGAATATACATTACCCCATATTGATTTTTATTGAAATATCTACTCAATTCCACACATGTATATAAATGAAGGAAAAAGTTATGAGAGTAACCTGATATGATTATGAGCAGCAATTTTTGCTTGAAACGTCATCAGGTAATATTTACTGTGTAACACTGTGGGACTTACGTGCGTCGGTGGTATAGCCGTTAGGACGCTCGCCGACCATCCATATGGTCCGGGGTTCGATCCCCGGCCACCGACGCAATCCTTTACCTCGCTAAGCCAGAAATAATGCTGGTAAAGAGGAAAGGTTGGGCATGAGGCTAGCAGCCCCATCCTGTAAAATAAACACTGCTACAGAAACTTTAAGCCACCAGCTTGAAGCCCTATGTTCCACTGGGGAACGTGAAGGAAAAAAAATGAAATGCAATTAAAATATTTCTGTTTACAATCATGGTTTAATGTCAAGTGGCAAAATAATTAATGTCATATATAAAATAATACATAAGGTGTATAGATTTTGGAAAAACCATATACATATATATATATATATACATAAGATTGTACAGCTTGATAATAAATTCGCTGAAAAGAGTCTCTTCGCTGAATATTGTATTCTTAGTAATGAATATCCTTAATTATTACACTTATACTGTTGAGAAATGATAACAGCTTTCAATCAATCAATCAATAGGATAAGTTAAATCGAACGAGAGAAACAAAATTCGATCTTACCATGCCTTTTGCAATATCATGACTGAATGATGTTATCTTACTCCAATCGAAGGTGTATTTCACTGTATCCAAGCATAACACATGTAAACTTCCCTTAGCGATATACTCAGTAATCAGACAAAATTGTTTATTACGAATAACTACACCAATGATGGTTAAAATATTTGGATGTTTTAAATTTTGAAGGAGAGAAACCTAAAATAATGAGAAAGAAAAGATAAGTTTAGTGAGGAGGGCGGAAATGAGGGTTATAAAAACAAGGAAATGTATTAAAATGTAATGTAATCAGGAACATAGGGCTTCAGCCACACGTCTTCATTGCATTCGGTTCTCTGCTAAAGTTTTCACCTGGCTCCAAGTCTGACCACATGCTTTTATCTTCTCTTCACGTCACCTCTATGTCACCCTCTCACTGAAGACCAACTAACTCGCCGCTTCCTATTCATTCGGGTTCCACTGGGGCAATGGCCTGACGTGTGATGTCACTCACTTGGTGGTTTTCTCGGAGTATGGCCGATCTACCTCCATATATTCCTGCTTATTTATTGTACAGTTGGTTCCCGGTTGGTTGGTTCGCTCATCGCCAGATATCCCTCTTTGGTGTTGATCTTTTCTGACCAGCCATCTGATCTTGATCAAAGTTCTGAGCGAAGACAGCTGTTGATGAAGGTCTGTAGTTTGTTCGCAGTGTCCTTCGTGACGCGTCAATCTCTGATCCGTATAGTAAGTATCACTGACTTCACATTGGAGTTGAAAATCCCTATCTCATTTTCCACACTGAGTGCTGAGTGTTGATCTCCTCCACACAGACTTGAGAGTAATGAAAGCTTGTGTGGCTTTCCCGATCCTTCCTTTCATATTCTAGTCAGCTGCGTCAGTCTGTAGTTGAAACGATGCTTCCCGACATGACTGAGTACTCCGATAGAATTCCACACACGTAACTATCCGGAACCTACCTGTTTTGTGATGTTATGGTTCAGTTGGTGAGTGTGGCGAGGTTCTAACTGCATTCTACTAGGTAGGGATTAGGCAACTAGGTAATATCATTAGTTTTCATACAGTATTGAAGTAGTTGTTCAGTAATGCTTGTGTTAGCAGCAGATGCAAGACTTCGACTGCTCTGTCAACTTACTGAAACATAATAACCAATTGAGAGACAGTCAAATCTTTTAAACCATAACCTCAGCTATTACTCGGTAGGCGAAACAGATATATTGATTTAACTGTTAAAGGCGAATAGACGGCAATATCCAGTCAGTCATATACGTGTACAAACAAGTAGTTATAATTCCTCTTCTAAGCACAAATTAATTACACAGCAGAGGCAAATAATCTCCAATACAGAGAAAGAAGGACCAATAGAAGAAGATACTGGCAAGAGGTGATACGCATGAATTCGTCACATTTAACAGACTCTATGGAGTGATGTGTAGTTGGTTACTCTACTAATCCTCCCTCCCAGCCAAAAAATATAATATGATACAAAAAGGATAATAAACCATAATCACGACATGAGATTAGTACGCTACATTTGCTTAGTTACATAAAACTCTTATTTCTCTGGTGTTTCTGGCCAGGAAGTTGTGGAATTTATTGTAATTTGTTTACCTTCGAACACCGAATCTGTGGATATAATATCTTGTTGACTGATAATAACCATGATACCTATCTGATTGGCATTTTGTGACTGTTTAACACTAACTAATATGTATAATTGTATATATTGTTGGATTTACATGCCTAAGTTGACCCAAGAGGCAGTCCAAAAAGTCGCTCTTCTGTACCTTATATCTCTATGTAACAATTCGAAAGTGAGGCTATTAACACCACCCTGTAAAGAACACTGCTACAGAAACTTCAGTACGATGAGTTTCCTTGCGACAAAAGAAAAAGTCTGTGTGGGGACACGCAAAGTCCGCCCAGATCACAAACGAGATGAAAAGTTATGGTATTCAAGTACTGGGAATATACGAAAGCAGATAAAAAGGGAGTGGAGTCACAAAATTGTCAACGGGAGAGTCAATAATCTATTTCGGTCACCCAGAAGACAACCACATGCACACTGAGGGAGTGGTTATCATGAGGAAACCAACGGTAACTAAGCCCTCATACAATGGAAGGAGATCTCGCTCAGGACAATGACCGCTAGATTTAACTCCAAAGGAAGGAAAGTGTCAATTATACAATGTTATGCAACCACAAACAACACAGACCTTGAAAAGAAGGAAGAGTTCTACAAACAACTACAGGCATCAATGGAAAATACTCCAGTCGATGACATTAAAATACTAATCTGTCTGCCTGTCTGTCTGTTTTCAACATAGAACTTTGCACCGATGTGCACCAGTTCAAGTCGCCACACTCCATGTAGCACACAAACCAAGAGAAGAAATGAGTAATAGAGACAGTAAACACACATGTGAGACAAAGGAATAGTAATAACGAAGAACAATATAGTTTCATCGGAAATTATAAGTCACAAGGAGTGGATGCATCTGCGCTAGCCATACAGAGGGATTTTGAACCACTCTTTATTGACTTTTATCATCCCGAGGACCCCAACTAGTCAGGAAGTCTACACTTCCCTACGTGGCTGGCTGACTGGCTTAAAGTAACTGCTGTGAATTTCATTGACTGGTGAAGCCATGTTTTGGTTTGACCGCCGTTAGCTCTTCTCCAACTTCATCCATCTCATGTCAGCTGAGATTGGTCATTGAGGAAGGAGATGGCTATGCGTGCGTGCGGAAAACATGTTCTAACCATCTCAATCAATGCAGCGGCTTCACAACCTCATCGATTGATTTACCCTCCTTACGTAGCATTCAGTCGAAGCCTAACCTCAATATTGCTAACCCTATTATGCCACTTCACATGAGAGACAAATAGAACGCAGACACCTATGATCAAAGACAACTAGCTGGTCTTTTCATATCTTCCACTCTCAATAGCCAGGTCTGGCTCACAGCCATAAAAGAGGACGGAGCGGACTGCTGATGAGCAGTACACCTTTGGTCCTTTGGTCGATAGCCAGCCGGATATCACGTCTATGCCAGAGACGTCGTAAACTGGCATATGCGGAACTAGTCCTCTGTATCTATACTGAGGTTTCATCAGCGATCAACCCGTTGCGGTTGTCAACGTGTTCTACCACTTCTTCACTAGTTTTCAGTGTTCAAAGATGTTCTTCTAATAATTGGGTTATCATAGCCGTTGTAATGTATACATCAAATATTTCAATGATCTTGCTTCGTGCATCGATCAACAGCATTACTTTATTATCTATAACCTTTAAAAGTATGTGATAGAATAGAATAGACAGATAGATAAAAAGATAGATAGAACTGAAGTATGCGCTGAAGATGTCACCCAGTAGGGTGATGAAAGCTTCGCAAACTAACCATCCAGCTCAGAGAACAAAACCACATCAAGATAGATAGATAGATAGTTAAACAAAACGTCGATCAGATAAATTTAGCTAACTCTTAGTAAAACTGTGAACCGTTTGGTTATACAAGACACTTATCGAGTCCTGTTTAATGTATAAATATACATATATATGTATATATATATGCATATTTTAAGATTAGTTAAAAAGTTCACTCACTTCACGCACAAGTGTCTCTTCAATCGCTTTACTTTGTTCGATAACTTCTTTAAGAACCAATAAACGATCCAATTGTCGATGCTTTACCTGTGAAAAACAAAAGACGAATGATAAGAAAATCGACTAATACATTGCACCTTAGTTAACATATTATAACAAACATATACATCAAGCAGAAATTATTGTTGATACCATTTTTCGATGATGCCTGTTACTCATAACTGTTGGACAAACTATTTGAATGGAATCATTTGAATGCACACGTTTGTAACTTAACTAGTTTTAAATACGAGAAGGGGGAGGATCTGGACTTCCCCGATGACATATATATATATGCCTGGTTTCCCACAAACTGGAAGATATGCTAGTGAAAAGAAACAAGTTGGAATAAGAAGCATCAAAGATAGCACCTCACTTCAGGTGAACATAGAGAAAACAGAGGTGATGAAGATTCCTGGCCAACAGTGACAGCAACAACAACAACAACAACAACAGACAACAATCAGCCAGCATAAATGGGAGGAACCTCAAAGAAACAACCTCCTTTACCTACCTGGGCAGCATCGTTTCAACTACAGGCAGACGCAGCTGACGAGGATATCAAAGCAGCGAGGACCGGGAAATCAAGACAAGCTTCCATAACTCTCAAGTCTGTATGGAGGAGATCAACAGCACTCAGTGTGGAAAATGAGTTTGGGATTTTCAACTCCAATGTGAAGTCAGTGATACTTACTATACGGATCAGAGACTCGGTGTGTCACGAAGGCCACTTCAAACAAACTATGCACATTTATCGAAAACTGTCTTCGCTCAGAACTTCGATCAAGATCAGATGGCCGGCCAGAAAAGATCACCAACAGAGATCTCTGCCAATCAGCGAACCAACCAGCCAGGAGGCGATTGTGCAACAAATAAGCAGGAAGAAACGGGGGTAGATAGGCCATACTCTGAGGAAACAAACCATCAAATGACATCACACGACAGGCCATCTCTCGAGTGGAACCTGACTGAATGGGAAGCGGAGAGTTGGTCGTCAGTTCGAGGGTGGGGTGACATGGAGGAGGTGATGCGAAGATAAGATGAAAGCATATGGGCAGACATGGAGCCAGGTGATGAAAACGTTGGCATAGAACCGAAGGCAATGGAGACATGTGGCTGAAGCCCTATGTTCCTCTAGGAACTAAAGAAAACAATAATACAATAATGAAGTCGCTTTACCGAGACCAATATACTTTAGTTTTATAAATGTCACTAGTTCTAGACTCAGTTTGTATGTGGAAGGCAATAATCGTCATTATTATTATCAGCCTCTAAGGGTTAGATTCAAACTTACAATCCATTGGTCAGTCGGTAGTCGTCCCAATGAGACGCATTATCAGTAAATATTTACGACCTACAGAGGTAACAAAACATTCTCTTTTTTTATTGTACATTATTTACTAAGTAATACTGTTACACTACAATATGAGATCAGTGACAAACAAACCAAGCTACTTATCAGAGTCAGAGGTTCTTTGATGGACAGCCTGACAGTATATATCACCCATGTTTCTATCATGTTTAAATAACCTTACAAAATATGTACACTCACTAGTAATAATAATAACTAAACAAAACTGTTGTCACGAGTTGATCACGGATTGATATCAGTTAGAAAACCATTGAAAACCAGGGAGTACTGGACAGCTATTTCTTCAGGCTAGTTTGGGAATCATCGGCGGTACGCTAGATGTCACATGTGAGGATGGATGTCCCACCGACGACACTGGTTGTGGTCGCGCTAAATCACAAATTGGTAGAAGTTAGAATTCATGGGCTAGCCATTGAATCGGGTAGAATCCTAGTGACTGAATGGTATACGAACCATCTTGCCTTGTAACCGGAAGGTCCTGGGTTCGAACCCCCTGTGGGGTGGGTCCGAACTGACGATGATTCCCAAACTAGGCTGAAGAAACAGCTGTCTAGCACTCCCTGGTTGGTTTTTAATGGTTCTCTAACTGATATCAATCAGTGATCAACTCGTAAAAACACAACTAACCTTTACAAAGCAAACTATAGAAAACTGTCGTCGTCAAGATAATCAATATAATACTGTAACGTTTACTCAACAACATGACGACTAAGTGACAGAACACGGTAGAACATGAAATGGTGATTTATTTCAAGCTGCCATACTGCCACAAAGCATGATAAAAGTTCAAGAAAGAAATATATGAGATGTGAGTGTATGTGTGTGTGGGAGATAGAATAATTAAATGAAGATTTTTAAATCCTGGAAGATGAACTGCATGTTTATCCTTAGATTAAAAAGTTTTCAAGAAAGGCATACACAACAAATCTAAAATGAATCAATAAATGTATACAAGACACTAATAGATTGATGTTTTATTAAAATACATAATAAAAATTCCACGCTAACTGATTATTCAAACATTATGATTGATGGACACATATTTCCAGTGTAAGATTTGACTACATACCCCTTTACGACTGTAATACGACTGATACAAAATAACCATTAGTGATAAAAGTATAAAACTTGGGCACTGTGGCAGAGTACAACTCCAGTATAGATAAGATTTTATTTTTTGATAAATCATAAAGTGGTGTTGTACAGTAAGGACTATTAACCTATGACCTTTTGAGCACAAACTATTGCCACTCATAATCATATCAAGTCACTCACTCACACAAATTTTTTCCTTCATTTATATATATATATATATATATATATGAGACCCTATGTAGGATTCTTAATAAAGTAGGAATTTGGGTGACATTCAAACCTATAAATTCACTCAGAGACAAGCTGTGTAGGCTGAAAGACCCGGTGGACCCAATTAAACAAAATATTATTATTTGCAAAAATATCCTGCAACGACTGTGAGGTCAACTACATAGGTCAAACTAGTAGATCGGGGTAATCAGATTGTCAGAACATGAGAATTTAGCTAAGGTAAGAATGATTGACCCCGAGAAGATAAGTAATTTAGAAAAAAGCTCAGCAATTGCACTTCACCCATTCACCACACAATAGGGTGGGAGAGGGTTAAAATTCTAAAAAGTAATCTAAGAAGGTGGAGAGAGAGGTTTTTAATTTTTTGATTACAGCTTGATTCCACACCGTATATTTTGGTACAGGTATGGAATTTTCAACATGTGATATCGGTAGCCCAAATTTTGCAGGCCGACCATAGATATCAGGTGTGCGTCGTTAGGGGATCGAAACCTGGACCGTGCGCATGGTTGTCGAGAGTCCTAACCACTGTACCACCGACGTGCTTGAATCCTGCCTGGTTCGTCGGGTCTACACCTAACACAACACATGCAACAGAAGTGACTCAATTCAAACACCACAGATATGCATGGAAGATATTATTACCGCCGGTCAAATCACAGGGGGATAATAAATAATCTCAAAATTCTATTTCGATTCAATTCACGTACATCACAACATTCTAACAAGTTACTTATTTCGACTATAAAAACACCCGTCTTATTCCCAATCTGATTGTATTTGTATCAATAACACTCACATTATTATTTCTGAATGTACATTATCCTACATTGATTTTTATTCTAATATCTAATCGGTTCCACTCATGTATATAAATGAAGCAAGAGAGTTGTATGAGTGAGTGACTTGATATGATTATGAGTGGGAATAGTTTGTGCTCGAAAGGTGGTCGCATCATTTAATATAACTGTATAATCTGTCTGTCTGGATTCAACATAGAACTTGGCACCGAAGTGCAGCAGTTCGAGATGCCACGTTCCAAATAGCACACAGAGGTAGACAAGAAGATGAGTGGAGAGAATTAATAGAGTTTGACAAATATAGGAGTGAAACAGAATGGGTAATGGTAGAAAGGAATATGAAAGATTACAGAGATTGAATACATCTGCGCCATTGACAACGATTTTGAGCCATGTCACCTATTGTCTCCAGCCATTGATTCCTAGAGTCCCGAGGGCCCCAACCCGGGAGTCTGCATCTCCCTACCTGACTCAGTTTAACTGTCAAGGATTTCATGGATTGATGCCATGTTTTTGTTTGGCCACCACTGGCTCTTTTCCAACCTGAACCTATATCAGCTAACAATGCCCGTCGGGGGAGGCGGTGGTTAGGCATGCGCACCACGTGACCTAACCATCTTAGTCTATGTAACTTTATAACCTCGTCGATTGATTTTCCCTCTTTGCCCAACACTCTACGCCTAACGTCAACATTACTTATCTTGTGAAACCACCTAACGTGAGACAGAGATCGCAGACATCTATGATCGAAAGCAGTCAACCTTTTCATGTCTTCAACGCGTATTGGCCATGTTTCAGAGCCATAGAGAAGGACGGAGCGAACTGATGAGCAGTACACACGTCCCTTGGTTGATAACCGGATGTCACGCCTACGCCAGAGATGGTGTAAGTCAGCGAAAGCAGCTCGAGCTTTTCGGATCCGTGATGAGATTTCATCGCCAATCAGTCCGTTGGTGCTAATACAACTTCCCAAGTAGGTGAAGTGGTCAACATGTTCTATCACTTCACTCCCTATCACTAAGTTAGGGATTGACGGGGTCCAGTCCTGTAGCAGCATCTTACATTTTGCAGGGGCGAATCGCATGCCAAACATACGGAGATTGCTGCTCAAGGTGTTCAGAAGACTCTGCATTTTGTCAGCATCCTCTCCTAACAGGACTATGTCATCTGCATATTCTAAGTCCATTAGATTATTCCCTGGTAACAAGTCGATTGTATAATACGACTGTGTGATTTATCAAAATAAAATCTTATCCATAATGGAGTTATACTCTACCACCACAGTGCCCAAGTTTTATACTTATATAAGTAATACATAATATCACTCGAAGTTTTTCTTCCTCATATTTTCTAAACTAAAACTGATTTGCGTGGCTACTTCTGTCATTTTAAGACAGTATTCAAGTGACAAGCTACACATAATGTTGTGTTTTTAAACTACCAAAAATGCCTGATATGTGGATCTATAAAATCTGTTTGGAAAAGAACTAATTAAAAATCTACCTCGTGCTAATATTGTCTAACAGTTGGACCGACAGATGACCAGTTAACCTTATCCATTTTTAAAACGTCTTAAACCGTACGTTTATGGTTTAATAGTAGAGAGCTCGCGAAACATGCAATGTGGTCCGCATTCGATTCCCGGCCGACATAATACTAATCCAAAGGAACCTCTCATGCCTGTCAAATCTCCTCACTGCAATCGAAAGCTGGTTCAAATCAAGGGACAACAGAAGACCCGTTGACATCGTCTTCATAGACTTCAGTAAAGCCTTTGATAAAGTACCTCACAAAAGACTACCCATGAAGTTGGATAGTCTTGATATCAAAGGCAGATTACAAAACTGGCTCAGAGAATTCCTCATAGATAGAAGGCAGAGGGTTAGGGTCAACTCAAAACTCTTCTCTTGGACAGCAGTACGTAGCGAAGTGCCACAATGCACGGTACTCGGACCTCTCCTTCTTATTTTGTATATCAGTGAGTTATCTCTGCTCACCGACTCCCCTATGGTCCCATACGCAGATGACTTAAAAATTTGGAGAGAGGTGAAGGGCAACAGTGATACGTCCACGTTGAAAAAGGGCCTCAACAAATTGTCAGAGTGGTCCAGAGAATGGATGCTCCCGATCAATGTGGCAAATGTGCAACCATGCGCATCGGACAAGCGAACACCAGCTCCTACAAACTAGAGGGAATAACACTTCCATCAGTTCAGACTCACTCGGACTTAGGTGTCATAGCTAGCTACGACTTAAAAACAACAGCACACTGTCGCGCGGTGGCTGCACGTAGTTTCAGGTCCTTATGAACAATTCGCAGAGCCTTTACTAGAATCACCAGGGATATCTTCACCTCCTCATATACGTCTCTGGTGAAGTCCAGACTGGAAAACTGTATCCAGGCCAGCAGTCATTGTCTAAAAGGGGACTCACACATTCTAGAAAGGGTTCAAAGAAAAGGCGACATGTATGGTTCTCGGCATGACTAACTTGCCATACGAGGAAAGACTAGATAGTTTAAATCTCTTCTACCTGTCATACCGTAGGCAGAGGAGACTCAATTGCAATGTTTAAAATTTTAAATAATGACTACGAACCTGATCTATTCTCTCTTTTCCTTCCCACCAGGTCGGAACACCTTAGAGAAAAAAGCAGGAGAGTTCAAAAGCGTCTGTGGCACAGTGGTTAGGACTCTCCCCGACCATACACATGGTCCGAGGTTCGATCCCCTGCCGACGCACACCTGATATCTATGGTCGGCCTGCAAAATTTGGGATACCAATATCCATGCTGAAAATTCCATACTTGTACCAAAAGTACAGTGTGGAATCAAGCTGTAAATCAAAAATAAATAAAATAAATAGTACCAAGAAAAATCTAACACAGGAAGTGATATGCATAGAAGAAGCCTTGAAACTTAATAATTACCCTGATAAATTAGTCAAGAAATATATAAAGAACTGTAAAGAATAAAATAATTAATAATAGTAGTGATAGTAATAATAATAATAATATTATTATTAATGACCACATGCATGTCAAATATACATTGGATAATGACAACACCAACAATAAGGAATCTAAATTATCAGTAGTAATTCCATACAAGGAGGGAACCTCAGAAACCTCACGCAGAATTGTTAACGTTGCTGGCAGGTATAAAAGTGGCTGGCATTGAATCACCCACAAACTCAATTACAAACAAGCTTTTTCGGTTAATGGATCACTCTGTGGAACCAACTAAACAAAACAATTGAGTTTATCTAATACCCTGCTTGAATGATTGTCAGGTCAAAGTAGTAGTAAAGTCTAGATTAGTTGACCCGTATTAGATAAGAAATCTACAGAATAGTTCAGCTATAGCACTCACTGCATGCAATCACACACAATCACACAATAGACTGAATGGGATAAAATGACAGTTTTCAAGTCTAATGCAAGAGCCGGATGGAGGGAGAGATTGATAACAGAAGCTTTGTTTATCGAATCAACTGAGAAAGAATACGTGTGACAGGAATGATTCAACACCTGTCCAGTCGGACATCTTGAAAATTCTAATACTCCAGGGATGACAGATAGGAGAGAAGAAAGAAGACTATAAAACTCAGGTTTCGAAGTCGTGTGATTACAATTGATGGTATGATTATGAACAATAATGAAATGTGTTCGACAGTGTGTCATCCAGTAAACAGTAATACTGTTTCACTGACTGTGATACATGTAATAAACAAACCGATAGGGAAAATAATTCACTCACTGGAAGGAAATTCAAATACTGATTTATAAAAGTGTTTAAACGGCATTTAAGAGTGATTTACTTTTAAAGCTCGACCGTATGATCCACTTCCTATCACCTCTAAAATTTCTAAATCTTTTTCGTCAATATTTGGAGGGAAATCATTCAATGATCTCACAGAGGTTGTTCGAACCAAAGAAACACGATCGCATTCTTCTTGAATTGTGCATTGATTATCTGAACATGAATATCCACAACTAAATAATTTTTTTGTTTAGTCATATGTCACGTTCTATTACCCACGATCCTTATTAGCAGATCGACAAGATGTACTCTAGAAAAATGTGAAGATTAGTTGAAATAAACTTACTGACAAATGTTTCTTAGTCAACATTCTTTTACTTTTAGGAACTTCGACTTACTAAAAAAATCCAAAGAATACACAAGCGGCTTAATTAAAGTAGGCTAAAAGTCTGAAAAAAATATTTACAAAACACTCTAAATTTTGACGGGAAAAGCCTAAATGAATGAATGAACACCATAAAAAACGTCAGCATATCGTGAAATCTAACGTGAAACCGTACATTTTTCACTTTTATGGCAAGAACACGTCAGTTCATCATGAATTACCAAATATGACCAAATTCGTTAGGAGATAGGCGTACCCTGTTTTATTCAAGATGATATGATGTAGCACGTGTTTGTAGACCATCACCAACCAACCTTGAGCAGCAATCTCCATATGTTTGGCATGCGATTCGCCCCTACAAAATGTAAGATGCTGCCTGTTACAAGACTGGACTACGTCAACTCCTAGCTTAGTGATAGGGAGTGAAGTGATAGAACATGTTGACCACTTCATCTATTTGGGAAGTTGTATCAGCACCAACGGGCTGATTGGCGACGAAATCTCAGCACGGATCCAAAAGGCTCGAGGTGCTTTCGCCAACTTACACCATCTCTGGCATAGGCGTGACATCCGGCCATCAACCAAGGGACGTGTGTACTGCTCATCAGTTCGCTCCGTCCTTCTCTATGGCTCTGAAACATGGCCAATACGCGTTGAAGACATGAAAAGGTTGACTGCTTTCGATCATAGATGTCTACGATCTGTTTCTCACATTAGATGGTATAATGAGGTAACTAATGTTGACGCTAGGCGTAGTGTTGGGCAGAGAGGGAAAATCAATCGACGAGGCTATAAAGTTACATAGATTGAGATGGCTAGGTCACGTGCTGCGCATGCCTAACCATCGCCTCCTCCGACGGGCATTACTAGCTGATATAGGTGCAGGTTGGAAAAGAGTAAGTGGTGGCCAAACAAAAACATGGCATCAATCCATGAAGTCCTTGACTGTCTGTTTTCGACATAGAACTTTGCACATATGTGCGGTAGTTCAATTAGCCACAGAAGTCTTTGACAGTTAAACTGAGTCAGGTAGGGAGATGCAGACTTCCGGGTTGAGGCCCTCGGGACTCTAGGAATAAATGGCTGGAGAAAATAGGTGACATGGCTCAAAATCGTTGTCAATGGCGAAGATGTATTCAGTTTCTGTAATCTTTCATATTCCTTTCTACCATTACCCATTCTGTTTCACTCTTATACTTGTCAAACTCTGTTGATTCTCTTCACACATCTTCTTGTCTACCTTTGTGTGCTATTTGGAACGCGGGAACTCGAACTGCTGGACTTCGGTGCCAAGTTCTATGTTGAATCCAGACAGACAGACCTCTACAGGCGATTCATCGTTGCAGATAGTCTGATCATCACAGAACAATTTTATTTGATACAACACAATGGTACAGTATCATTCACTGATGACGTTTCGAGTGCCGTTTGTTGCTCACAATCATCACGACCCTACCATGACTCTCAGACTTGTTTATACGGTTCTGCTGTTTTGTATCATTTGATTTTATTGGTAATAATAGTGTCCCTGGTATTGGTGATGCAACATTTCTATCGTCGGTCTGGTGAACAAAAATCCAGTGACCAATCTCTCCAGTTAACTATACTACTCTACACAGTTGTAGATCCACCTCATCCAATTGTTTAATTGTGTCTTAATGCATATATTGGGATTGTTGATTTTTTTCTAAGCTAGCGGTCTTTGTGAAGTTAGTGATTCTATACTTAGCTAAATTGCTATGTTTCGATAACCTAATCTTACTCTCCCCACCGGTAGCTGCTACCTTGACGTGGTGGTCCGTGGCTTGCACATCACAATGACCCAACAAGCTACACTGGCTGGAACCAATGTTCCTGCAGGTCCTACCATACCAGGAAGGTTGTTAGGATAGCGATTAGACTGAAAGCAGTTACCGGCGTAGTGTAAGAATCTTTCTGAGTGCTGGGTCTGAGTGGGTGTCTGAATGCGAAGTCGTACTGCTGGAGAACAGGGGTGCAACAGCTGTGAGGTGTTTCCCTCAAATGACCAGCATGCCAGCTATGCTGTCTCTCCACTCCAGAGAGAGGGGGTTAGAAAAGGTCGACCTCAAAAATTGCACATCCCGACTTACCCTACGGTTGTCCACAACCGGCGGTAAGTTTACTAATACGGAACCAATCCCGGAAACCAATTCATACAGGCCGTGTGTGTCCGACTGGCCTTAAGCAGCTGTCCCCTGGGCTCTGCGATCACGCAACACTAAATTTCTCTCTGTTTCAGGTACCCGAAGAATCAATCAACTTCCACGGTGTGGGCAGCCGAGAAGTGACAACCGCTCACAAACTTCCAAAAACACACTTCTATGTCGAAAACAGACAGAATCCCACTCTACTGCAGTGACATATATAGTTGACTTCCCAAATATTGCAAGGAAACTATAGGTTGCTATTTTATCCCTTTGGGTCAGAAGGATATTTATCCTTCAGTCAGTCCCCTTTATCTCGGTTATTATTGAATAAAATGAGAATATATTACTATACAGTTATAACTTAATTTGCGACGCTTTCAGGTATGCGTTTCTGAAGACACAGAAAATGAATCCATCAGTTTTCTTTTGATTTCATATGAGTTTAATATAGTCCATAAATGAACTAGTACAGTGGAAGTTCAGGAGAAAGAACATACAATGAACATTGGCAAGAGCAGAAGGACAAACACTGACACAAAGAACGACTTACATCATGAAAGGCGTATAACACGAATGAAAATATACTATGACAGTTGGAAAGAAGTCGTCATATCGACTAACTTAAACTTTCTGTTAACATGAAGAAATTTATGTTCAGTATCTTCATTGTTTTTACCTCAGTATGCTTATCTGACACTAAATGGGGTCATCCTACAAAACCGTGGACTACCATGCAAATCTACTGCACTCAGACACACTCAACTGCTAAATGAATACTTCATTGACCAACAGAGCATTTCATTATACCTAACTTAGGAAAATATCATTTATTTCCCATCAACATTATGGCGTAGACGGTGTGACTGCAACTAACCATTTTTCGGACCGACCAAGGCAAAAACGGGGTTTATCAAAATAAATTCACCTCCTATAAGGTGCACAGTAGATTCCCGAAGACGTAGTCACACTTCTCCCTTATTCCCTTGAAAAAAATTGCGAACATTAACTATTGGGTAGCGCTATGTCATGAATTGGCATAAGTTAGAATTTATGTGCCAATGGATAAGGTCCTGGTGGCTTAATGGTCTACGAACTCGCTTTGCGGCCAGATCCTGGGTTCGAACCCCTACTGGAGTGGGTGCATACTGGGACGAAACAGCTGTCCAGGACTCCTACGTTTTCCGGTGGTTCTCTAACCGACATCAGCTCATGATGAAATCCGCCATCCTATTAAACTATCAGGTCCCTGGGATGAAAACTTTCCAATAACTTTGAACGCATGCTAGCTGTTGGGTAACGAGGACTATTATTATTATAGCGCTTATATTAAACACTACTCACTAGCTAAGGGGTGAATTCCGCACACACCACGTTTCTAAGAAGTTTGGACAATGTGTTAATCGCTCGTTAGGGTCAGGATCAGGGCGATACTTAAAGTAAGGGCTAGGATAACAGTTATAATTGGGATTAGAAATAAGGTTATGGTTACGATTAGGGACAGGTTTCAAGTTGATGTAATTTTTCCTAATATGTTTTATAATCAACACTTTTCCCGGTAAGTAGTGGTCGATCCTCTTACCGGAAACCATAGTAATTCAACCTAAAGCTTTCGCAGAAGACTGCGAAACAGGATAAGAGCGATAAACGGGTCAAAAATGGTTTACTCTAAGTCACCTGGGTGAATAGATGTATATAAATCGGTTATTTTAATCCATTGTAGTTTGTGTACGCATGAATACATTACTTAACTCACCAAACCGATACTAACAGAGAGAAATATGAAGTGCAAGATATCCCACACGATCCACACAACCTAATTGTGAGCCACACAGTTAACGCTGGCCTGCCTACAAACTAGGCTATTAAAACAAAGGACCAGGCCAATATTTCCTCGTTGTAAAAACTTGCAAATTCGTTGTTTTTTGGGACGAAGTCTACAATATCGTCTCTGTATTCCATTTTTGTGCCTCATCTGTTGTTTGGTACGCAAACTTGGAAGGCATACAGAACGTTTGCTCGTCCGAATTAAGAACGAGTACTTAACGCCTCATAAATGCATACCATATTGTTGATCCCTGTCAAATAGGGTCACCGCTTACACGACGCTGCAAATAAATGTCAGCATGATATGGATGTTACACAAAGTTTTCTGTTACGGACCTCTGTGGGTTAGTAGTTTTGGCGTGTAGGCATGATACGAGAGTATGCATATTTCATCCTTCGATGCATACCAGAAGGCAGTTATTAAGCCGAATCACGGTAACGACTTTATCATCCAGAAACGAATTAAATTATGTAATATTTCTGTTGACCATGTATGCGTGCTTGGATAGCTGGAAACCAACTACGAACAGCCACATGTAACACGGTTGCGTACTGAATGAAACGGATGCTTGGCTGCACAGCTTCAGCTCATTTAGTATACTCAAGCAGTAAAAGTTAGCACATGATGTTTAAAGATTTAAATTAAGGTCGGTAAATTCGGAAGTTTATTTACCGATATGTCTCAACCCCCGGCCCTCCAATTCGGGTAGAGTGTACCTCAAAATGGTATCATCCGGACGTGAAAACCTAACGGTCGCGCTTTAAGATCTGTCCGACACGACACTCAGAGTTAGTTAATGATCAAGGAATTCAGAAAGGCAATATGAATATCCAAACAGGAACTATATATGTCTTAAATTTAGCTTCACTCTCTATATGTTAAATTATAACTAATGGTGTAGAGACCCTATATTAACACTAACTGTACGTTTGCAAACTAATTCATTTGCCCAAATTATCAACATAACGAAACTGATTTTAGATTTACTTGTCAAATATTTGGCATTGTATCATGGAACACGCATATACGGCTTGGCTACACTTCTTAACATTCGCCTTGCGCTCTTATAGATTGGATTTCGTAAACGATACGTGTCAATGTCCAGGTCTAACTACACTGGACTTAGCACTATCCCTAGAAGACTTTCAGAAACAATGTGTAATAACCAAAGCGTGAAACCAGAACAAAGATTGGTGACTCAAAAATCCATTATTCTTGCACAAATATGAAACCAACCATGAGGTTATTATGCACAAATTCTAAGAAAAAATGTAATAACAATTAATCACGATAACACCTCTGATAGTATTTCTCCGTCTTCTAACGAACAGCGAGCGATGGAACGATGACTGAAGTATCGATTACCTCGAGCACTGTGTCTTTCAGTCCTCATGGGTAAACAAACTGATATTTGATGATGCGACAACTGCGGTCAATTGACTTGATGAGCGTCATCCGTTCATAGCACACCTATTTCACCATAGTCATTTGTAATTCGTACATAATTCGTCTTTTCAGTTGTTATTTCCAGGTTTTTTCGGTCCTTTGCATACTATTTATATACTATATATATACTATACAGTTTGTACTATATATAGCGCGCTTTTCGATTAGTGCGCTACAATTGCTTAAAATAATAATAACAATTTTTCCTTCACGTTCCCAGTGGAACATAGGGCTTCAAGCTAGTGGCTTGAAGTTTCTGCAGCAGCGTTTATTTTACAGGATGAGGTTGCTACCTCATGCCCAACCTTTCCTCTTTACCAGGATTATTTCTGGTCTAGCGAGGTAAAGGAGTGCGCCGGCCGGGAATCGATCCCCGGACCATGTGCATGGTCGGCGAGCGTCCTAACTGCTATGCCACCGATGCAGTATAATCCGACAAATATGCACTGAAGACACATTTGCTGAAGAAGAAAGAAAGTTGATACAAACTCTGGTTGATAACGATTATCCAGACAAGTTCATTAGGAGATATAGAGTGGAGTAGTCAAAACACCAAGACTCATTCTCCAACTTGCCATTAAGAAAGACGTGCACATCAAGCTACCCTATATGGGTAACCATAAAAAAATAATTTTTGCCTGGTTACATAAAACTCTCATTTCTCTGGAGTTTCTTACCACGAAGTTTTGGAAATTATTGCAATCCGTTTACTTTTGAACACTAAACCTGTGGATACAATCTTGCTGACTACTAATACCTATAAAAACTGTTTGAAATTTTGTGACCCTTAACAAAGTTTGTATCGCGGTACGTTCGACGTTTGCGTTACATTTTTACGTGATTCGTTACATAAAATTTATCTTGTTGTAGTACTTGCACAAGTACTATACTACCTCCATACTTGTAACCACTAACTTCATTTCTAATAGTTATGGTTAATCAAAGTAAAAAGCAACGAACCCAATCCCCTGTAAAACTGGTGTCTAATTTAACGTCCTTGATTGCTACATCAAGCAACACACCCCCTACAAACGGCTATAATGAGTCACATAACTCACTTGTATGCCGTAAGCGTCGAGCTGAACTGAGGATAAAACTGTACTGACAGCTAGTATTAGCACTACTCCTAAAAATTCAGTACCCTCTGCTCATACAGAACCCTCCCTTCACCTTATGTGCTTATCGAAAAACTCCAGCCATCAAGCTCTTCTTCAGTACTATCTTCAGAAATAGAACTTCTAAAGTTGTCTATAGGTGAACTTAAGGCTGAGTTAAGGGAAATAAAAAACAGCAAGTCAGTAAATGCTGGAAACATCGAAACCGATACCGAGATATCCAAATTATCAGATCAGATCAGCGATATCAGATCGCAGGTCTGTGAACTGACACCTCTAACTATCCTCATGAAAACGGTAAACCTTAACAAGCTTGACACAGAATCGGTAACTAAGGTAGATAACCTCATTAACTTTGTTACCACAGAAGTAACAAAACGACTCGACGCAAAACTGAGTGCTATTGTCTACAACGTTCCGGACAATGAGGCACTAAAAAAGGTACAGCGCATCTTACTTAGTGAAGCGAAAATGCCTAACTCCAAGACTAAGTGCTATAGGCTGAAGAAGAGTCAACATGAGAAGTGTTGTCCTATTCGTTTTCAGTTCGAAACACCGGCAGAGACCAGAAAATTCATCCACTCCCAACACACCCTATCGCAAGCCAGAAACTACAAACATTTAAAGGACAAAACAGTTTTTTTTTTCATAGAAAGGCGCGCATACAACTATCTTGCTAAGACTAATTGTGAAATAGGTAATAGGACATTGCAAGCAGCCATTATTCCCAACCCTGTGAAAGATACAGTAGACCCCACCGCATCACCCCTCTCAAAACACACAGAATTATCCCATCAGAGTGCAACACCAGCCGAAAGGCCACTAGACTGTAACCAAATAAATAACAAAACCATACCACCTATCACCGCAGAATCTAAAATGCCACTAAATAACCCCAGAAAAAAAGCCAAAACCCCCCGAAATTCCACTTTGTCTTCTCCTAGCCATAACTTCATTGCTAAAGGTAAGGAAAATATGCCCCTAAACCATACAAACAAAAACAGTGGCAGCTTAAATAAACCCACACTTCCCACGGTCAATAGTACTAGCACCCACAACGTGCTAAATCGCACCATGGCACACACTGATATCCAATGTCACAACAATGTCACCCTCAATAGTACAAGTGGTAATAGTCAGAACTCGGCTATCAACAACTTAGGGTCTTCAGAGTATGGCACACAAACAAATTTTGACCGGATATATGGTACAAGTCTGCTGGGAACTAACCCACAATGCAGTACACATGAAACCCACACAAGGACACAACTAGCATCAAACAATAGGTGGAATAATAAGCCATGGTCATTCAAAGGATCCAATCATTTTTTATCCCCCGCGTCCCTGTCAGCGTTGAAAAAACAGCTGGTAGGGATGTTAACACTCCTAAACCACTAGAGCTGGCTCCCTCCTTGCATGAAAACAGGAACGGTCTAGTGCACCCGTATCCATTAGGCACACTTGACACCTGCACAAATATAGGTCAAATAAAGAACCCTACCCACTTCTGTAACCTGACTAAAAATAAAAATTCCTCGGTCTATAGCAAATCCAGTACTCCAACTCTTAATTCTTCACCGAAAACAGCACACACCAACTCGATAGACATAGGTGAGCATGATGCTGAAACTCCTCTTAACATAGGATCATCATGTCAAGCAGAACTACTGGGTGCTGAACCATATTCGGGGCTGACTAACGAACTTAAATACTTCAAATGCTACTTCAACTCTCATCTTTACCTAATCCTCATAAATGCTAGATCTGTTCTAAATAAATTGCCGATGCTCAGAGCACTCACAGTAATATACAAACCCCCTGTAATTGTCATCACTGAATCTTGGTGTCATTCGGACATCCTGGATGAAGAAATAAGCTTAGATAACTACACACACTTTCGGTGTGACAGGGAAGGTGGTAAGGGAGGGGGTTGTCTCATGTACTTTCTGAATGCACTTACTGTATCACAGCTAGAAAGTAGTACACTTAACATGCCTGAGACTCTATGGGTTAATGTACACCTAAATAACGTAACAGCATTAATTGGATGCACCTACAGAGCACCTGGCACCTTTAGTAATTACGAGACCCAACTTATTAATACTCTGGAGCAATTATCCGACTTACAATACGACCATAAGATCCTATGTGGGGACTTTAACTTACCTGAAATCAACTGGGATATACCCACAGGCCCAACTAAATTTGATAAGTTCTTAGACACACTGGATATACTTGGCTGGAAACAAACTGTCACTACTCCCACAAGAGGTAATAACGTACTAGACTTAATCTTCTGCCACAATATAAGCCCCCTTTCAACGCTAGTAGGTTCTGAGTTTCCAGGGAGCGACCACAAAACAGTGATATGTGCACTGCCAATTCCGCTGAGTAGCAATGCATCTCATACCTCCACTTCACAACAAGTAATATATAGGAACTATAGTAAGGCAAACTGGGCCT